ACGATTATCAAATCGATCATCGACTTCTGTGCACAAGCTTCCCGGTACCAGGTGTACTGATGCACGTTTCAATGTTCAAAAAAGAATTCATGATAGACAGCTTGTTGTTTGCATAAAACTGCAACAATTTCATACGGTAACTGTTGAGACCCGTAGAGCCATTCTTTCCAATAACGCCTTTTCACTTTTCATAGTTTCTTCTCTGAATTTCACATTGAAATCGCTCGTTAGATTGATGATTCCGCAGTCGGCATTCCTTTATATCACCTTCTAAGTTCTCCAGGAAGGACTCTGATTATACCTCTTCATTTGGCACATAAACCTGAGACGAGGTCAGAGAGTTATCTTGCAGCCTCAATCATGGGGTTGCCATACTTCCGCTAGCAGGCTTCCATTCAGTGATTCCATCATCAGGTGGGGTTCTACTAGAACTCCAACACCGGTCTGAGCGCGCGTGGCAAAATCGACATCTGAGTAGAACAGCTCCCACCCACTGAGGAACAGAAGTCCAGAGCCTTGGCGTTTCGTTGACGAGAGTCGAATAATGTCGAATTGTTACCTTGCGGCTTATCGACTAGCTCTTCCTCTTTCCCTCTGAGTAAGGACATATTCCAATTTCCAACTCTAAGCTCCTACTGTCAGTATCGTTTCCTTAGAGGGATATTTGATGTGCTGTAATGGCAGCGAGCTGTCTGCCTTGGGTAGCGGTTCCGTTGCTGAGTGAATTCTTCGTCACCGTTTAGCCGATCTTGTGCTGCTAAGGCCTTGGCAGCCAGACCTTGGTAACCAAGGCGATGACCGAGCTTAATGTTTTATGGGTATCACTAACAAAAAGCTTGTTTCCCGTACTGCCAGTGAAAATAGTTGCATTTGCGCAGTAAATCATAGCGTCCATGTTTCTGGCAGTCAAGAGAGGTCATAGGCAGTCATTAGCTTCAAGGGAGCAGCACCTGTAGTGCACGGATGCAAAGCACCATAACCCTGTTCGGTCGAACGACGATTCGTTCGAATCACAAAAAATCATTTTCCCGGCAAATTCACATGAGTTCACATTAGGTAATAACAAAAGTTGGAGGTTCGCTTCTGTTAAGATTTGTTGGTTCTGTCATGATGTACGTCGTAAATAACGCATGACTCATGTAAAACCAAATATCATAGAGTACTGCACTCTAGACTTGCTCCTAGTTGCCTGAGGCATTTAACCAGGCTACGGCTCCATGGCGTTTGAGCGGCTGCAGTGTCAGACGCATCTCGCATAATCATGTCCACGAGACAACTCGCTTTAAACACAAACAATGCTTCAGAAATTCTGATCTTGGAGGAGACTTGCGTTATTCGACCTACTCTGGCGAAAGAACAACTAAGGATGTGTGAACAATAGCATTTTAAGAGTACCAGCTTTGTTCATATGCTTCTGGCACAGCAGATATTCAAATACGATGAAGCCTTTGGTTTATTTTAATGATCTTCTAGACAACTAGGAACTAGAGGATGTGTAATAAGCGGTTAAATCTGGCATCTGAATAGTCATGTGTTATTTCACAATCTTCGTTGTACGTACAAAGTGTTATGATTATGGGCCTTCCCAGACGAGAAAATGTCTTTGGTATCAGGTCTTCGCTAATCTCTTCATTGCATCTCTCATATCGACACATTCCCTTGTTCTTGGACGTTCATATTTCTCAGAATTTATATACTAATGCGTTATCAGGATGGGTTGCAACACAGTCTGTTGGCACTCTCTTGATGACATTCTTCTCATGTGGTGACAAAGCTTCAGTGGACGTTCTTCTACTCATTAAGCAAGCGGCATACGCATCTTTTGTTTAATTGAGTGACTAAGATTTCTGTCCAACACGATAACTCTCTTGCTCTTCCTCGTGAGGTCACTTCCATTATTATTAGCAAAGTAACTTCGCTTTTTTTCGGGATTCATATTAATGAAACAGCCAGCCAGACGATGATCAGCAACGGAACTAATTTGATTTATAGCAGCACCTTACTTTTGAATTTACGCTTTCAAATCTTCCCTGACTATGCTTTTATTACATTTACAATTTAATATGCATCTCCTCATTACGGACATACCGATCGTCTTAGAAGATTAATCCATCACGGTGCACAAATTTTCATAGCTGCTTGGGCTATCGCATTCTCGTTCACCAAGATGATTAGTTATTTATCTTTCTTTCATACTGCCAAGCTCTCAGAAACATAACAGTGGCAATTCTGAAGTTATGCAGCGGACAGATCTGAACGATGATTGATAATGCTTACCTTAGGAACAAAAACAAGACACAACGTCAACGTCGTGCAAAATATGACGAACGAAGAGATGAGGATGAATGACTCGTTCACACGGTCTTGCAGAATGAACGAAATAGCGACGCCCAACGCGCACATGACCACAACGTTATAAACGGACATCCCAATATACTTGCTATCGTTCAAAGCCGGAACGTTCACGTTGCGGGTTTCCCAAGCCAGGAAGCAGCCCAGCAGCTAGAAACAACGGCGAATGCTAAACTATATATGCTACAAACTTCACAATCTGAACTACCAGAATGATTCCCTTGTATCCGTACAGTATGCTTTGGAAGAACACGGTGTACTCCGTTTTGCAGTACTCAATGTTGGGCTTGATCAATAAATTGCCTCTAATCTCTTTCTAAAAGTAAAACCAGCTTCAAAGCATGAAATGCAAGCATTGGTATTGACGCCTAAAACTCTCGTTCAGAGAGTGAAAGACAAATCATGACAAAAGCAGCAATGGCATAGCAACGGGAGGTGAAATAAAGTGCACCCATCTCTGCCGCATGTAAAGCTGCCAGAACCTGCCACAAATCCACAAACATATGTTCAAAAGGAAAAGCTCAATAACATTCAATTCAATTTACATAAATATTTCCTAAGAAACGCGACGAGCTTCGATTCTCCAGACAAAGCGTAGCAAACAGCAGTCATCATTAAAACAAATAGGTAGAACAAATGAATCAGTCAGAAAAAAGGAAAATTAGGACTAGGGAGGATAGTGCAGAACTGATTCCATGTGTCCGCTTTCTAGTGATACATGAAACTCCTGACTGCGAACTGAAAGACTGACCTTCGACCGATAGGGAACGCATTCTGTCAGATCGAGAACGCTAGCGATGAGCACTAACGAAAACACTGACGCAATTCGTAGTCCATCGCATATGATCTTTCTCATATCTCGACGATTGGCATGGTATGTGATAAAATCACACAGATGAGAGTAGTGTTGATTTTCGTTTCGACTCCATCATATAGTAACAGCTACTATAGTCATGTGACTAGTACAGTAGGCTGCCTGTTATTCCCGTTTCTTCCCGTGAAATAGTACAGCGGTAGACGAACGAGGTTCTGAAAGTAAACTGCTAAGAGGCGTGCGCTGTTTCCTTGCTATCTGCATGTCACTTCATAATGATGTGTGATATCAGTATTTGAAAAGGAAGAAAAGTGTTCATGTGTACAAACTGCATCTAATAATCAATGACAGACAGATGATTATTGAAACGGCACTGGCTGTTCGTGAAATAACGCTGGCAGAACAACGTACAAAAGCCCGTCTCGCTATCAGTTCTTCATGAAGTGCCCTAAAGATGCTCTGATGAGGAGCCATGACGAGGTGCACCTCATCCCGTTCATCGGATGACGCCGATGGAAAAAGCACACAAATCAGCTTTTCTATCGTATGTCATCAACCACCAAAATATCGTATCACTAATGCACACTCGTCAATTAGCATGGAACAGTTAAACGTAGATATTAACTGGACAATGTTGCTAATTTGCAGTAAAATTTATTATAGCAATAAATGACCTCCGCCGGCAGAGCCTTGACATCCATTTTCATCGGATCGATGATCAACCAAATGGTGAGTACGATTCCATCGACCAGCAGCAGGATGCCTACGATTAAGAACAATTTGAAGTCTTTGATCGCCTGATAAATAAGCAAACGTCAATTAAATCCTCGCGATAAATCCGAAAACGACCCAAACCTTTCTGTTCAGCTGCACGTTCGTGAATATCGAATGAACTCGCCAAGTTTTGCTGAACATCGAACCAAACGCAAGGGTAAATCCAAGGCACAGGGTCCATACTTTGGCCTTAAATGATACGTTTAGAAAAAACTGCATGAACTCGACTTCGATATGACAGAAGACAGTGCTCTCCCAGGCAAAGCTTTTCACCCTACCTTCGCAGTGTGGGAAATGCTGGTCAATCAACGTCAGCAATGCAGAGAACAAGCAATGCATATATTCTACTCTTGTATTCATTTATCCAGGACCAGCAACGTGAGTTTCAACCATCAGTGATGCGAACATAGACTATATTGTTGCCATTGAGTAGATAGGTCTCTGTTGGTACTGTGTTGATGCTCTAGCACCTTTAACCTTCGGCGCCACCCTTGGCACTTCAGTTATAAGAATGATTATTGTACTTAAAAAATCGATAAGCCCTCAGGAAATAACACCGCACATAAAATTTATGATGTACAAACTCTTGAACGCTTGGGATCATGTTCAATTCTTGTTTAAGGAGAGACCTATTACAAAATGTTATTACAGCATAAGCCAATTGAGTCAATACGAACTCAGTTCCATACCAAAATTTCTATTTCTACTTTGGTTTGATTTTTTTCACACCGGGCGAGAAACTTTCTAAGCCAGAAGATAAAGTAAACGTTGCAATTCAATTAAACCAATTTCGGAATAAAGATGTTGGAATGGAACTAAGTTGTCAATGAACGAAGTAATGAAACAACTACCGTTATCGAGGCTAAAGCATCTATGACTTGCAACGGAAAACAGTGTATACTGTAATTTTATGTTCTATAAGTCTGTCACTAAAGAGAGATCGGACATGAACCGAAAGGTTGGAGAATTTTTTATATAATAAAAGTTAAGTGCAGTGTCATCACCAGAACGACTTGTCAAATTTTTAACTAAATTCACAAATAAAATAATTCACCTCACAAATATTTAAAGTCAGTTACTGTACTTCTGTTATTAAATAATGAACCCAATGTGCCTAAGTTCCTTGTGCGTATAACCTTTGATTTGTCTTGAAGTTAGTGTCACGTCAAAACTTAATGCACACGGCTTTTCACCTGTTGATTTACAGGCCGATATTTTCCCCGATGCACTTCGTCCCAGCATTGCGTAGCGATGCTAAATTTGACTGAGACATTTGATCACCTCCCTGTGATAGCCACACGATCAGCTTTGGTCAAGTTTTTGTTCGCAGTATTGTTTTTCTATACAATAATAAGAATATGTACTTTGTTTCTGTTGTTGAAAAACGGAGGTTTTCAGTTATTTCGCTGAAACGGTAACTTTTTCCAAACATTCAAAAGTAATTAATGTGTAAAGCCTCTAGCGTTAAACCTGAAACGTACCGTGCATATCCTGCCGAAGTTTTCCTCTGAAACGAGCCTGGTATCGATGCCCAGCAAGATCACACTCAAGTACGTCAAAATCGAGCCGACAGTGATCAAATTGTTCACGTACGGACTGGACATTTTAATATACCTATAGAAAAAGTATCAGACACTTTAATTATAATTTTACCTGAAAAAATGGACAAAAATATATGATAATTATAGCAAGGTTTTGTAATGCATCATAGCGTCTCCTAGCATTACAAAAAAGCAAAGTTCAGTACAGTCTCCACATCTAAACTCCGTGGCTTTTGGTCTATTAAATAACCTCTTAGCATCTCGAAGCAAAAAGGCAGGCATTTAAAAACAAATCTGAATTTGGAGGAGTTATATTATTATAAAGCCAAATGAATAATGTTATTCATACCAATGTTGTTATTCATTTTATAATGGTATTACAGAACAAAAGAATAAATACATTACACGAACAAACAAATCAAGATCAAAAGCATTTAAGATGAGTACATTCAATTGTTCATGTTGATTTAAGCAACATGATTTACCTCGTTGCGACGACAGTAAAATTTACCGTTGTTTTCGAAAGTAGATGTTGAAAGCAAGGAAGAAAATGGCGAGAACGACTCCAAGAACGGTAAGCGTGCACATGACGCTGAAGACCGCGAAGTCGATGTATTTTCTGGTGACTAAGATCTTAATCGCGTCAGACGGCGGTTCTCCTCCTAAATCGAATCGTCAGTCCTTAGTCTGTATCGTCGAAAGCCATGCCCTGCCAGAGTATGGCCTCTTCTTCGATGGAAAACATGCTTTCAGCCGTGTCGTATTCACCAACCGGAACGTACACTTGGTCTGAAGAAAAACAGATTATGTCATGATGTATGGAAAATTTAAAATTAGGCAAAGGAGAGCAAGTCTGCAAAGAGCCAAGAGGCTGAACAACGCACAACGAAAAGAACAGACCGGACAAGGAAACGGCTTCAAGGAGAAAGAGGAGTAGAAGAAGACGAATAGGAAGAGGAATGCAAAGAAAGAAAAAGGAGATTCAGAAGAAGAAAAAGAAGCAGAATTAAAAGCGGAAGAGGAAAAACAGGAAGAAGCAGTTGAATTTTTCATATAAGCATGATGCTGTCGTTTCATCGGATTTCATGAATTTCTGTTCTGGTCTGTTATTGTGCTAGGTTCATTTGCACCAGGTTGCCCAGTTTTATGTTATACCTATAGCTCTATGCAGCTGTCTTTATGATGATTGACTTTTGCATGTTTTTATTTTTTGACTGCAAACATTCTCAGAATAGACTGGCTAACGCTCATTATTGTAGAGTGTTCGCTACTTCATGGTTTGTGGCACCAAATAACACAGATATTGGTACCGAATATCGTGGAACAGTGGTCCACTTAAATGATTCGCCTAGGCGACAGCAAACAGGGGCACGGTGCAGCGTCGAAGTATAACCGGGCGTAAAGACTTCCATTCATCTCATACTATCGGTTTAAACTACAAACTATAATCTGCAATGTCAGAACAGAGTACTGACATCTGTATCGTTTTGCGCCCTAATTCATAAATCGAAGAACAATGAACAATTTCAACAATGGGCGCCGTGTCAAACGCGTTATGTCGTATTTAAGATTGGTGATGATTCACAAGTAATTTCTATCATTACGATTCATGGTCCCAAACGTTTAGTATTACAAACAAAATAAAATAACCTATTCATTACCGTAACACAGTGTGTAACTCACTTTGAAACTGTGCGACGGTTATCTTGCCCATTCGAGCGTGTTTTTCGAAACGCATTCGTCCCTAAAAAGTTTGCGATGCAGCAACTATAAAGTTAAGCTTAATAAATTCCACATGTTCGACAGCATCACAAATGCTTCGAGGCAACTGTCGTTTAGATAGTCTCGTCAGTCGTGAAACCAAAACTCTGCAATGAAATGAACTGTAAAAAATTTTGAGTTAGAGTGCTTGTTTCCTTATGCTCAAATGCATGTTGGCTGAATTCTCAATAGATAGGAGGAAAACGAAACGTTATTACGTGATAGATCGCACAAGGTTATCAAAGGCACTTTTCATTTTATACACCTCATAATGTCACAATACGATGCTACCATCAGATTTGCGAATCTGGCCGAAAATACTGCCCAATTAACTTCACTATAGCTCCAGCTCTGAATTATTACGCTTTTTCATATGAATAAGCCAAAGTCGCTTAACCTGTAATCCATGGAAACACATGGACTGTAATCTTCATTTCGCAAGACCTGTCAGCGACGCCTGCATGCCTTCCAACTTGCCTTGCCAACTGTACAGTTCCGTAACAAATTGCTTGGAAAAGACCTTGTGGCATAATATAACCACGGCAGATGAGAACCTCGGCTGGAAACAACAAATGAGTCCGATGGTTGGCAAAGGGCTGTGATTGGTTTGAGCGAGTGTAGACCGAGGAGGATGAGCGTCGGCTCATAAATGCTAAATAATTTCATAACTGGCGCACCCTGCCGATATTCCAGTACACTACACAGGAATATTACGGCAAACAATTTCCGCAGAAAACAACTGGCTCGTATGGAGTCTTTTGTAACTATGTCGACCAGTTCTGGTTCATCCTGAACAGCTGCTTGGTTCAACAGCAAATCTGGTTCTAACCGACA